TTGCGGAACTTATAATACGACGCTCTCTCATTATATGGGACAAGGCGCCGATGATGGACAAACATTGCTTTGAAGTTGTCCAAACATCATTGCAGGCTATTATGAGAGCAGTTGACCCTTCCAACAGTAACAAGCCATTCGGAGGCAAACATGTTGTATTTGGTGGAGACTTTCGACAAACACTTCCAGTGATTCCAAAAGGGAGTCGCCAGGACATTGTGAATGCAACTATTAATTCTTCCGACATTTGGAGGAATTGTACTGTGTTGCGACTTACAAAGAACATGCGTCTTTAGAGCATTTCAGATGTAGACGAACGTGATGAGCTAACAACATTTGCTGAGTGGATTGCGAGCATTGGAGATGGGACTGTAGGAGGATCAAATGACGGTTGTGACGCAATTGACATTCCAGAGGATATACGATTGGAAACCTCAGATGATCCAATTGCTACAATCTTCGAAAGTACCTATCCAATGTTCAAAAATGCAACTGACGATCCAAGTTATTTGAAGGACAGAGCTATATTAGCGCCTACTTTGGAGGTCGTTGAGTCTATCAATCAATACATGTCGGATATGAATTCTGCTGAAGGTCGTACATATTTGAGCTATGACAGTACGCCTAAGTCGGATTCCATCAATGGCTTTTTGGCTGATCTCCACACACCCGAGTTCTTGAATAACATTAAGTGTTCGGGAATGCCGAACCATGAGTTGCATTTGAAGATAGGAACTCCGGTCATGTTGTTGCGAAACATGGACCATTCGAGGGGTCTGTGTAATGACACACGTTTAGTGTTACGAAGCTCTCTCCGCATGTTCTTGAATGTAGGATATTGACTGGAGATCAGGCAGGTGAGAAGGTGTTGATTCCTCGGATGAACATAACTCCTTCTGATGTTAGGGTTCCGTTTAAGTTCCAACGAAAGCAATTTCCCCTTTATGGTTTCCTGTGCCATAACCATAAACAAGAGTCAGGGTCAGTCTTTATCATATGTTGGACTGTTCTTGAAAAAACCTGTTTTTAGTCATGGCCAGTTATACGTCGCTGTTTCACGTGTTACTAATAAGAAGGGGTTGAAAATATTATTTTGTGGGGACGATGAGTTACCCAGTAATCAAACTAATAACGTTGTATATAAGGAGGTTTTTAATAATGTATAACTTTTTAACAATGACGATTTTATGTTTACTTTATGAATGTCATACGTATTATAATAACTTATTAATTAATTACCTTGTAATTTTTTAAAATTTTCCAAAACATGTACTAGCCCGTGCATCGCACGGGTTACATACTAGTCATCATTAAAGCCGTGTGGAGATTTGGAATTTCCCTCAATTAAACACAAAAGCCG